TCCTGCTGATCACACAGATGGATCAAACCCACGTTTTTTTCAAGTAAACCTTTATGAATTCTCTGTTGCATCCGCACTCCTCACTTCTTGGTAATAGCAGCTGCAAAGAAAAGTCTGAGAGAAGCCAGATCTGAAGGCAGAAGATATTGAAATCTGGAAGATTTAATTTAATATTTTTATTACATATTTTTGGAGCCCTGATTATACCCCCCACCCTCCAGGAATTTATTTACCTAAGGAAAATTATACTACTGATTACAAGATTGCAGGTTCATTTTCACTGCTGAGAACTCATTCTTTTTACAGCTCACGTTACACTTGCATGACTTTTGAAGTTTTGTAACATCTTGAAATTTTTAATGCTATATTGTGGAAAGGTAGAAATGTAGAAATGAACTAATCAGAATGCTTGCTTTGCAGTCCTTCTGAAGGGGAAAGAAAGTTAGTTTCTTGGTTTGAACAAGTCTGTGACTGGTTTCTTTGAACTATTGGGTAGTGAGTTCATAGGGTGCTCACAGAAGCTGCCTCGTGTTTGTCCTTCAGGCTGGGTGCAAAGTGAGAAACTGTAGGAGATGTCTTTAAAACCCAGGAAGGAATGTTTTCTACAGGGGAATAGGAATTATGCAGAATTCATGACTATTAGTGTTTGTGAAATGATGCTGGTAAGATCCTTGTGGCAAATATGTGACAGATAGGACAACATCTTAGTCAGAATCTCAGGTTTTCCAATAAATCATTGCACCTGGGCCTTTTAAATCATAATTTGGGCCAGACAGCACTGCATACTGAGTTAACGTCTGGAAATCTCTCCTGACTTCATGATGATTATCTAACGGTTCTTTTAACGGAGCCATAGAATTGGATGAGCTTTCTGTCAGTTCTGATGTCACAGCAATAGAGACCTTTGACTGAAACACCACCATGAATACTGGATAAGATCCTACAGTGCAGCTCCTCCATGTTATGATACTATGCAAGAGTGAAGGTTATAAATACATGAGTTATATTCACTTTCCAGTGGGTAAAAACAATAAAGAAACCCCATAATCAAGTTCCAATACACAACTAGATATAATATAGCTTTTTCTTTATATATATCTGTATATATATCACGTAAAAAAATCTAAAATAGTTGGAAGTAAAAAATGAAAAAATAGCTGATTGTGTTATCTTTTTCTTTACAGTGATATGGTAGCAAATACAAGACAAATGGGTAATAAACTTTTACACAAGGAATTCTGGTCCCATCTCCATCAATAGGGCTCAAATGAGAACAGAAAATGGAACAAGGTGATTTTTTTTTTTTGGCTGCCACTTCTGCAAGTGACAAAGATGATGTTGATAAGACAGAAGGAAATATAACACTAAATAAAATAGAACTCCAAAGTGTTTTCCAAAAGACCTTAAACACCATAGGGTAAATTTACTTCTGAACTGGGGGAGCAAACACAAAACATCACCAAATCCTACTGAGGCTGAAAATACTGTATGTTTATCCTGGCCTCAAAACACATCCCTCTTTTGCCATCTTAGCATAAAAAGACACCATCAATTCTTCCCCCCCTTGCAGCCTATAATAAAAACACAGAGCTGCAAATCTGTTGAATGGACTGAGCCAGACATGAGAGCTCAGTGATGTGCAAGTGGTTGGCTACCCTTTGCCCAGTGGTGAATTTTCCCCAGAATCCTTTACACTGAAAATAACAATTGACTAAGCTTGGCAGATGGTCACACTGAGCCCTATTTTGGCCGTAGAAAAGAAAGAAGTACTAGTCTCAGCATAAAACAAGATCATATAGACAATCAACACAAACCAGTACTTTTTTTTTTTTTCAGTTGTCTGCATAATAACAACATCATGTTTGCATATAGAACAGCTTTTGCATTATTGCTCTACTTATAAGAACATAGTAAGGAACTTATAACAGACTTGTACATTACAAACTTAAGGTTCTTTGGTGAAGAATGAGAAAACAGTATTTTCGCTGTAATTAAATCTTGGAGAAGTTTTTGGGTTTATCTGTTAATCCTTTGAATCCTCTCACAGAGGAGGGAGAGGTATTGAGTTAGCTTCACCATCGCGACGATGGCGACCCCGCCGATCATCATGCAGGTGGGCCAGAAGAGGGAGTGGAACAGCACGTTGGAGCTGTACAGTTTGGTTAGTATCACATTCTTCTGAGTGCCCTCAGGGTCGTAGAAGCAGGAGAAGCGTTGGTACTTCCTGAAGTTTTCCATCACGACGTTCACGAGCGACATGGATTCCTCGTAATTCTTGCCACACTGGGGTATGTACGAACACTGGGAAGAAATCGGAGAGAAAGAAATGCACCTCCAAACCAGATACAATGTCTGTTTTCAGGCGCTGAACAGGAAAATCTCAAGATGATTATGCTTTTCATAATAGGAGTGGAATACTATTAAGCTAATAATAAATTTATCACAGACAAAACTCAATATTTTGCACATCTACAGAATTTCCCATTGGAGATTCTCCAAGTGCTGTACAAATATTAATGCTTTAATCTGCACAGCAGCCTCAAGAGATAGGTGAATGTATTATTATTGCTAATTTACGCATGCAAAAATGGAACTGATGAAGTACCACTTCATCTTAAGTGGTGTGTGTATGCTTGCAGTTAGGTGGGTAATTGACTCTGTAAATATAAATTTAGTAGTTCAGATCTCACTTGGATCAGATCAAGGCAATTGTAGTGGGCACTGGAGTTCACCCACACAGGAGAAAGCTAAAGAGAGACCTTTATACAAATTTTTCCTTGGAGGTAATGCCTCAAGTAGGATCAAGTAGCCTAGGAGAAAATGGAGTTTTCCTACTGACAACCCAAAGGACTTGCATTCACCCTCTAGCTGAAGATCAGTCTGACTACCAGGCTGGACCTTAGTCTTGTTTTCACACTTGACTCCAGCTTAAGTCCAACAGTTCCTTCTCTTTGAAGATGCTTCTTGAATTTCAGTCCCAATCACAAAAAAAAGATTTGGGGCTGGGTCTATCTAACAGTTTCAACCTAGCATTCCCAAAGAACACTAAAGGCAAGTTAACTACAAAACTAGTTTATAGACTCCATCTGTTGAAGATATTCCATGGAACATGCGGGACAGTGACTTTGGGCTGTGTTGACCACTCCCTGCAAAGAGTTATTGTACTGGTGGGGTGATGGGCAGACACACAAGGATTGAGCTCACATCTGGGTTTCGACCTAGAGCAGAAACACCTGAATTTGCTGTTGCTGGTGGTCTGGAAGAGGACTGATGGGAGCATCACAGGGCTCCTCACTCCTTCCTGTCTTCCAGATATCCCTTCCACATCTGAAGGTTTCCTACACCTGCACAAGCTTTTGATCAAATTCCCTACCCAGGCAAGAATTGCTTCATGAGGGGTGGAAATCTCAGCAGGTCACTTCTCCCTTGCAGTTTAGGGGGTGATCATGGGTGCCCATCATGCTCTCTGCCTGTGCTTCTGAACATGCTTGTCCAGGGTGACCACCTACAGCAGCTCCAGATAATTTAATGAGGCAATGTGAGTGTTGCAAAGGAAAGAATGTTTTGATTAAAGTAACGTGACTCATGCATTTTGATGATTATTTTTTGTGATGTATGTACTTTATAAATGTCCCTCTGTTTTTTTTCATGACTATACTGTGACTTTTTTGTAATGTACTGTGACAAATCTCTGGTCCTAATAATGATCAAAAGATTAACCTCATAACAGGATTTGATTCATTGGCAAGTTGATTAGCACAGAATATGATCTGAAGCATGACAGCAAGATTGTCTGGCGTTAGCAGACTGGAGCATTAACGGTAGAGGATGGCATCAGTGTCATTATGAATATTTCATAGAGCTCTAGAAATTAGAGATGGAAAGTATCAGCAGTAATATCTCATCCATCTTCCTTGTGGTGAAGGTCTGCTCCCTCCAGGATGTTCTCTTGCACTCTGCCCAGCCTTGTCTTAAATATCTAAAGCCACAAGCCCTCTTCCAGTACCTATGACTCTTTAATAGATGACAATCTAGTAAGTAGGGGAAATTTCTCAGCGAAGCATACATTTTCATCTGCTAAATGTGCTGTTGCTGTCATAGCAGGAGTATTTCTAGCTCAGATGTTTTTTGTTTAGTTTGTTGAGTTGTTTTTTTTCAGCTTGGGTACTATACATTGTTTCTTGAATCCCATAAAGTATCCTGAGGGAGGAGATAACATGAGGACTTGGCCACTCTTGCCAAAGTCCAGCTCTTCCCCCTTGACAGAAACAAGCAAGCACATGAAAACCCAAACGATGATAGGTTCCTGGACTCAAAGTCTGCAGAATTTTTGTGAGTGCAGCAAGGGGAGGTCTGATTTCCTGCAAGTCTGAGTATTTTCCAAGCATTTTTGGAGGAGACCTGGTACTGAAGCAGAACTTGAGCTATTGCCTCCTACCCCTGATAGCACAGAGCCACTGGCTGTGTCAGGGTGGTTGGGCTGCCTGTCACATGAGAGTCTGGCAGTGTGAAGCTATGAAATGCAGTTGTGCAAGGGAAGTTGATTTACTTTGCCTTTTGGTCAGGCTCCTTGTGCTGAAACCATTTCTCTCTCCAGGCTGTCGTCCCCCATGTGCTCCCCAAGACATGGGTACCCTTTGCTCCACGTGCTATCTGCCTTGTTTCAGTTCTGAGCTCCTGGAGGCATCTTGGCCTCAGCTTTGAGGAGCTCGTTGGCACAAGGATTCTCTCTGTGCATTAGGTTGTGGTTGTGGGGTACCTTTGGCTTCCTCAGTTGAGATGCCAGGAGTAGCACAGGACTGGCTCTCCCATGCTGGTGTCTACCGAGTTGCATAGGTCATTGGTAAAGGAGTAAGTAGATGGGGATAATGGATGTTTTGATTTTTTCTTTGGTTTGGTCTTCACTTAGTCTTCTGTCAGGGAATCTTGTATCCACAATTGTTATGCTTTACCTCTGAAAGCAGACTAGTAAATCCATGCTGTTTTATTACACCTCTACACTGTCAAACACTTGGAAATCTGTGAATCTGAAAGTAAATGATGTCTGACACTCTGCCTCAAGTGAGGCTTCTGTGAGAAAAGCATTACATGCAATCTGATCACGAGAAGGATGTATTAGGCAGTTGCAAAGAGAAATTGTTACTATGTTTCCAGCTCTATTTTCCTAACTTAAGTATTGGACAGGTAGCCTGTATGAACTATGATATGGCCAGTTCAATGCCCTGCTCAGTGTAGAGTTCCTCAGGGACTTATCCAGTCAAGTTATGGTTGTATCCAAGGATGGAGATTGCATAACATCTCCAGGCAACCCGGGGGCAGTTTCATTTAAATGAATGGTGTTACACTGAAAATGCTATTGGCAGAAAAGCCTTCAGGTCAGGCTGGGCACTGAACTACATGGCTTTTGTCATATGTCTGTGGTTGAGGTCTGTGCCCATGCCAGGCCTGGAAACTTTGACAAGAAGTGCTCTGGCAATCTTTGTGATAAAGTGGCCAGGATGTCGATTTGCTTCTCTTTTGGAGACTGCAACAGGTTTGACCCAAGGGCTGAAGTAGGACCCTTGTGTCTGTGTTGTCCTCATATTGACAGCAGATGACTGAATTGTCCACTTCCAGCCCAGAAGTGGATCTGCTTGGAACTGCAGCAGGACATCGCTGCTCCCATTCCACACCAGGCAGACTCCTCCCTGGGCTATAGAT